GAAAAGTGTTGTTGACTAATTTATTTATTTCTAGTTTATCAGTTCAAAATTAAGAACGGTTATGCGGAGATAGTCCTTGTGTAGTCTTCCATAAAAATTCTAAAACAAGAAAACAATATGTTCTTTCAACAACCAGCTCTTAATGTCCTTCCACACTGTTTCACACTATTAAGTAATTGACGGCCTTTGGTCAAATTTGTAAGGTTATGGGTCAAAGTAGGAAGTGGGTATAACTCAAGAAACGGCTCTTCATATCAACCTAATGATGGCTGTTGGAGTAGAAACTTCACCTGAGTTTTAGTATTATTGCAATACTGGCGGCCATTTTTTTTCCATTGCATTTCTAGATATATTGTGTGTATGTTGTATTATATAAAAAAAATTAAAAACTTTTTTTTTTGGTGTAAGGAAGTGGCGCCATCTATGAATGTAGATAATGTTAACTTACGACAAAGATAATAAATGATCAATTACAGCAATAATGGGGAGTGGAGGGGGTTATGTTCCAAACTATCATTCCCCAAAGTTTGGTTGAGATTGGCACAGCTACCCAGGAGTAGTTAGGTAACAGACACACATATTTTTGTGCTTTATATATATATATATACTTTTTAATTTTAATTTTCTTTGTTCAATTTTTGTATTCAACAATTCCCACCTTTCCCCCTTCATTATATTTTATTCTAGACAATTGTAATGATTACATTTGCAAAGCTTTCAAAAAATCGCTTTTTCAATATTTTTTGTTTGATTTAAGCGCAAACCTGTACAATGGACTATCTGCGCTGTGCCTACTGTAGAGACTGAACTCAGAAGTTTAGCGTTATAACACCTTAAGCGTAATGCTGAGACATTGGGGGTATGGCTTCTCTTTAAATATCATAGAAAAACCTTAGTTATAAATGTAGTTATTTCTTCAAAATACTGAAATCAGGTGCTGAAAAAGTTTGATGAACTTCACAATAAACAACACTTTGTATATGGTTTCTAAGAAGTAATGAATATAATAATATAATATAATATAATAATTAGTTAGTAAATTAGCCATAAGCTATGTTCTTTTGATGATAACAAGTAACAAAAATTAAAAGCATTGGCTAAGTCACTCTCAAAGATAATTCAATCTTAATTTCATTACTTAACAGTATAAACCTCAAACGAAATTCCAATTTTACGAACTCAGTATTGTATTTAAAAAAAAACAGATCGGGACAAATTTCACTAATATATATATATATATATATATATA